AGCTTGAAGACATTTTTTTAAGGCTAAACAGCAAGATTCAGCTGGGCTGGTGCTCCAGATATTTAAGAAGAGACAGGATTAAACACTGCCTACTGCTGCCAGCTGTATCTGTGCAATACCTTCCAATAACAATTGTGTTTCATTAAGCTCGTAACTCACCAAGCCAGCATACAAACTCCCTCTGCGGCTAATGTGCACCTGCACGTCAAAGCAGATCCATGGCATGTGCTACAAACACGCCTAGAGAAAAGAGCTGTTCGAACACCACGTAAAATGGATTAATAGATCAGAGTTCCTCCAGACATCACTCCACAGAAGCAGCTCTCTGCTGTTGGCATTCCCCAAGTTTTCAATTACGAACATGTTTAAACATACCTTTTTAAAGCCTCTGAGTGAGGTAGCGCTTTGCTAGTTCATGAGAGCGAAGACCTGCCCCCGGCTCCAGGAGCGCAGTGCTTAGCCACAAGCAAACACTGTGCAAAAGGGCTGATGTTCCACACAGGGCTCTCTGAGGGCTTTGTGAAGAGCTGCGGACACCACTGGCACTCGGGTGCCTACCAGCGCTCATGCTGAGCTGTAAATCATGGTGCCAGATCTGTCAGGAGCAGCGATGGCCAGCTGCACCCCCAGAGCAGGAGTCACAGCGGTTCCCCAATGGGACAGCAGAGCAGGGCCTCCCAGCTGGGGCCCATCCCACTGCCCCCAGCCCAGGGTATCAGGCACCTCTGTGCAGACAGGACAGGGTGTCAGCCACAGCTCAGCACATCCCAGCCAGGCTGTGACAGAGCCAGCAATGAACATCCCACAGCACCACTGGGGCCAGGGCTAATGGCCTCAGGCTGAGTTGAAATAGAGCCCCCAGACCCATGGGCAGGGGTGTGGGTATCAAGTGAGGCTGGTCAGGACCATTAAGGCTTATTAGTGCATAAAGGGCTCTGAGAGCTAGTTTACTAGCAAAATTACTGCTATGAGCTCAGACTCTAATGTGTACTTTTATAAACACTTTTAAAAAAATGTAGGTCAAAAGATGCAAATTCCAATATTTATACAAGTTTAGAGTTAAACTGAAAACAATGCTTGTAAGAGAAATGTTTGTCTTTTACAACACCATAGTCAGCTCTCCAAAAGACAAAATCTATTCCTAATATTAAAAGGATTAGAACTGTATAGAACTTGACTTTTTCTACCAAATCTCCATCATTTTTATTTGAAAATTACTGTGTACTACATAGAGAAACATGCTTTAACTTGCTAAATATATTTCAAGCAGAGTAATTCCTATCACACAGTATGTTCTCTAAATGTGCTAGGTGAGATTAAAGCATCTGCTTTTAACTGCAACTCCATCAAAATACATGAGCTTCCATTCCTGAAAAATGTAATTACTGTCTTTAAAAAGGAGTAGTGTAAAAGAGTTTTGTACTGCTAATTACAGCTACCATGCTGTTGAAAATCAGGCAGGTGGAAGAAAATAGTTGTGCAAAGTATACTTTATGATAAGTCACTGATATGCAACAACAAATTCAAAATAATTACTTGTCTAAGTACGTTTTCATTGGCACCAATGTAGCAAATCAAATCTTTAAGATTTGGTTTAGTTTTCATTTTGAGAGTATTCTTGATCTAGTTAAATGTTTAGTCAATTATTCAGGATGTTAAAAATCTACCTATACTCTTATTTATATGCTTTCATACCCTTGTTATGCTGAATGCTACAAAAACTTTTGAAAATAAATGTTACTCATGTATAGATGTGTTTCCATACTTAGGCTGTAAAGTGGAAAATATCTCTTAGAGAGGAAAACTAAAAATGAAAGGAAAACTATTAGAATAAAAGCAGAAATAAGCAAATATCTTCAAAACAAAATAAAAGCTAATATATTGATATTACACACAGCTAGATTATGAGCATGTACTTACCACCAAAATGCTCAGAGTGAGCTTTTGGCTGTATTGTATAGACATAAAATGGGAAAGTACTGAAGACAGCCTCTTCCCTTCTATGCCTCGTTGAAGTTTAAGTTTTCTCACTGCACCTCCTGAAAAATGTTGCAGAAGAGCAATATTTAAAAAGTGGGAAATGGAGAGACAGATTCATACCAGCTGCAAAAGAGAAGACCTTGTTTACCACTCCAGACCCAAAAAATCATTAAAATCTGTTGGGAGTTACACAAAGAGTAACTCTTTGCCAATCTTCAGTGAAGTTTTGATTTTTTTAAATTTTCTTGTTCAATTACTTTGAGTATTTGAACTTTTAAACTGTTTTTCCTAAAATTCGCACATGTGATACAACTTATGGGACTGTAAACCACACTCTTTTAACATTGCTCTTTAATATCAGAATTCAAAATGTTGTAAATGGTGTGCGTTCATTATTTTACGAGTTCAAGCCAGGTAGGTTTTTGTTTCTTCTGGGCACTTTGGTCATGTACTGACATGTCTAGTATAATTAAATAAATACTCTTGAAATACCATTACAGCATGATGCAGTCAGGTTAAATGGTCAAGACTGTCTTGAGGCCACGAAACACTAGAAGATGGTGTGAAATGTGCATATTTTTAACAGTTCACAGCAGACAAGATATGTGCATTATTTGCACTGAGGTAGCAAAAAAATGGAAACACATTTCAGAAGCATCGTGCCAAGGTCTTTGGGACAAAAAAAGAGGAACTTCCTCAGACCAGAGGAAAATCAGAGGCATGTTCTCTCTGCTTCATGCTTCTTCTGAAAACTGGCCTCCCTGATGACTGAGTATTCCTTTAGCATATATAAATTTTGAGATAGTATTTTTCCAGCTCTGCTGGCTCATCATTATATGAGCTGGAATAGCTGAGCCCAACTTAGTCAACTAAGTACGCAAGACTGTAGTGTCATCGCCCAGAGACATCAAAGATACTTAAATATGTTTAAATAGTAGGTGAATAGAAATGTAATTAATTGTGTACTGAAGCATCCAATGTCTAGATTCCTTAAGAAAAAATATAATATATAATTCATTAAAAAAATAATTAATTGAATTCTAGCATGAATGTTCCTAATCATAGCTTTTAGGACACTTATTCTATTTTTAAAAAATGCATAGTGTAATGCTATTAGAATGACAAATAAGCACTTGGTAAAGTTTGTAGTAAATGAAGCAAGAAAGCTTGCTGTTGATTTTTATTTTAAGATTATCTCAGATGCATCAATGCATATTTTACATCAGTATCATTTAGCTTTTGATGAACTGTCACCATAAGAATAGTGCAGGTATTGAGAACATCACAACTTCAGAAGACTGCAAGTCTAGAAGTGTAGTGTATGCTATGTCACATACCTGGAATTCTGGACAGAATAATACCATGCATCCCACGCAAACAGGTATAAAAATGCGGAGGCCCCACTAAGCTTTTAAAGTTGCACCTGGCCAAAAAAAAAAAAAAAAAAGTCTTGAGGGCAGACATCACTTATTAATAAAAGGAAATATCCTGAAGCCAAGAACTTACTACTAAACATACAAGCAGAATAGTTACTTAATTAAGAAATTATTTGCCAGCTATGTGTTAAGGTAGGAATTAGCAGTGAAAATGAAAGAATGACAATGTTTTGCTTATGGGAAGCACACAATCCCAACGACAGTTAACATGCTTTTTCTTGCTAAAATTAGATTTTTTCTCAGTAAGATTTAGGGGCTATGTGAGATTTATTATATCTATTTCAGTTAAACACCGTATTATTTGTATTCCCTAAAGGGCAAAAAATTGCCTTTTTATTCCTTGTCTTAATCAAAATCTAAATATGTCAGTGTAAGCACAGAAAAATAAAAGTGGCTGAAGAGAAATAAACAAATTCTTTCCAACCCTGAAAGAAATTTTTTCTTAGCTGTAACTGTAGAACAAATAGCTGTATCTGCGCTAGCTTCAGCTTAGGTAAGGATGAGCAGCCATACAATATATACAACAGAGCTGCACTTCAGCCATCCTAGTTCACCAGTTTGGCACTAATTACCAGCCAAGATGGAAAACAGAAAACAGGGTCAGAACCATAACGAATGGCTTCAGCACCCAGCTGTGTTGTCCTACCAGTCCGTCCCACCTATTTAATTTGGAGCCAAAGCTGCATCCTTTCCCCACAATCCTCTCAGCCTCTTTGGCTGTGGCTCTCATAAGTGGGCTGAACTGGTGGACACTTAAGATGGAAAGGACAGCAGTTAGCATTGGGTCCTCTTTGTGTGCAAGGTATGTATTTCTGTGGAAAAGAGCTACTTGTTTATTATGTTTGTTTGTAATGCAAAAGCTGCAATCACTGGTAAAAGAGATAGGCTTCAGGATCCATAGCCACCTAGCTTAGGTTTTGAAGGCATCATGCTACGTGTCAGTCCTCTTATAGTCTTTGAAAGGATGGATGTGACAGACAAGCCTGGAGAAACCGTATGGCTTTCAGACTGCTTTGTCTTTTTTGACCTCCTCATGCTGGGCAATCTCTCCAGCAACTGAAATTTGAGTTATCCCAGTCTATGGGACAGTAAATATCTTTCTACTACAGCAGTAACTGGAATCCCTCATTATGAGGAGGTTCATTTAGGTCTGAAAGGGATCCTACAGACATGGTCAGCTATGATGATGTTGAAAACATGATGCCCAGTACCAAAAGCTGCTTTGCCAAAGCATGACAAATGTGCAGAAGTATGGGCATGAAGGGTGTGCGGTAGTGATGGGGGAACAGCATGAACACAACTGGGGTGGTGTGTAGGGACATGTGTTGGGGAGACAACAATCCTCTTCCATACGTGTGCAAGTATGGATGAGGATTTATCTGTGGAAATGGCTGTAAGGGACTAAACCTAGCCTGGGGAGGAGGAGAGGAGTGGGTTTGTGCCGAGAAGGGAGAGCCAGGACCACTGTTCTTCCTCTTTCTCCTTGCCTCTGTCTGCTGGCCCCTCCTGACACATGACACCGATTCCCACAGGAGCTTGCAGCCCAACTTCTCCCTCCTTCCCTCACAGAGCTTCCAGCACAGGGAGGACAAAACAGCTGCCAGCGAGCCCAGAGCAGCATCCTGCATCTCTGCAGAGCCTTTTGCTTAGGAACATTGAGGTAAGGACTCCTTGTCGTCTGTGTGTCTGCGTGCACCAGAATTCCTGCCCTAAACTAGCAGGAGCTGAGAAACCTTGGACACATGGCTGTATTAGGGAGCCATGTGAGATGTGAGATGCATTGTGCCTACCTGGGGAGAGCTTGCAGGGAGATGACAATGAAACTGAAGCGGGGCAGGACTGACTTGTCAGTCCCTGAGCAGCCTGTGAGCTCTGGGTGAGTCTGTGAGCCCAGGACAAACAGCTCCAGTCCCTGCAGAAGGAAAAATTCCGATGAGTAGGTAGCTGTCGAGCCTGGGCTCCAGCACTGTGGGCCCACATGTCCCCAGGTACATTCATGCCTGGATAGCACCCTCAGGCAATGACTGTTCCTCTGTAGGACTGCTGAGGACAGCGGGGCTGTGATCGCAAGAAGTATGCATGACCCTTAAGTTAACTGAGTTCTTAAGTAAAGAGAGCAGGGAAAAACTCAGGTCTGCTTCTGCACCTCCTGCTTTCCATGCCAGCTCTGGAAAAAGCACGTTTAAAAAAACCACCCTGTGATTACACTTGGGATTCATACTGCATCCACATGGGTACAGCCAAGGCTAAGGTTTCTGAGAAGTGCTGGTTGTACAAACACTACCAGATAGTGAGGGAGAACTGAAGTATGTTTGTAAAATGTCTGTCTCCAGTTTGTCATGTGCTAGATCTATATGCCCTGTGCTTGAAAATCACTCCAGTATGTCTCTGTTTATTATTACATATTTTGGAGAAGATATTACCAATAGAAAATCAAATCAGTTCATTTTTAGGGACTATATTTTAAAATACAGCCTGCTAAGCAACATGTTGAAGGAAAATTGAACATTTTATTGCCTTCATACTGCTGTACTTCTGTATTGTTATTTTTGTTGTTTAGGAAACAGAAACCAAACAAAATATGTTCTTCAGATTCTGGTGGCTTTTGTGGATACTTGAACACCATGAGTTTTTAGCAGAAAATCTCAGGGAAGAAAAAAGATATGGATTGAGAAGACCAAAACCTAAACACATTCTGTCAAATACTGTAGAAAAATATCCCAGCCCAAGTGATCAAGGTAATTATTGTCATTTTAAAACAGGTGTGGTTTATGTCCTCGTTCATTTATTTGGATTCTGGACTACATTACTAACTTGCCCTCTAAAATACTGCTTATAATCAGCCTGGTTTGCCTCATTGTACATTTTCACATGCCTTATTTTTTCACTTTTATCTTTTCTCTCCCCTTTTGTGCATTTCAGAAAAGGAGATTATTTCTGGGCTTTTTTATGATATGGCTGATAGCCTTTTACTGTCACAAGAATAATAGCCCATATAACTGTATTTCTATAGAAGTAATGTCATCAGTAGTTCAGGAAATTAATACTCTGCAGATCCTGCTTTTGGAAACTTAAGTCACTGGGTGCAAGTGACAATACCAAGTGACAATCTCTGTCTAATCACATTCCAGTGTCTTACTCAGTAAGACTCATTTTCCTGTGGGCAATGTCCACTTTCCCAGACTTCATCCTCGTAGAATATTCAGTGAAATACCAGGCAAGAGGACAGAATGAATGTATAAAACCACTACAACATTTCTCATTTCATACTCCATAACATCACCTCACCTTCAGTTTCTTACTCCTTGACGCATCTGTTCTGGATCAAATTCCTCAGCCTCTACCTGCTCTGTCTTCATGAGGGTCTCACACTTTTGATCACAGATGTTTTAAAAAATTTCCACAATTGCACTCCCACTTTTGAAGCCTAAAATACATGTAAGGGATAGGGTGAAATGAGATTTAGTGTTAAATCACTCCATTCATCTACCTACCTATTTATTCTAGATGAAGACTGCATTCTGGAAATTGCTTTTTTACTGGACAGCTCCGAAAGTGCTAAGGACTATAATCATGAACAGCAGAAAAAATTTGTACTGGAAACAGTAGACAGAATGAAAACTCTGCAGCTTAGTTCTGGACGTACCCTTAGCTGGAGGATGGCCTTACTTCAGTACAGCAGCACTGTTTACATAGAGCAAACTTTCCATGACTGGAAAGGTCCTGAAGCATTCAAAACCAAAATTGCTCCCATCACCTACATAGGTCATGGCACCTACACAACTTATGCTATAACTAACCTTACACAACTCTACATGACTGAAGGGACTCCAAATAGTGTTAAAGTAGCCTTGCTCTTCACCGATGGAGTAGACCATCCAAGAAACCCGGATATTTTTGCAGCTACAGCTGATGCTAAACACCAAGGAATTGTATTTTTCACAATGGGAATGACCAGAGTGGCTGAGGAGAATAGCAATGCTGCCAAGCTCCGGCTCCTGGCCAGCGTCCCAGCATCCAGGTTCGTTTTCAACCTCCAGGAGAAAGAAACTGTGGAGAAGGTACTCAAAGAAATGGTATGTATGAAAAATAATCTGAAATAGTAAAAGGAACATATGTAAAAAATTGTTTTATTTCCAATATTTTGAACTGCTTATGCTATTGAAGAAACCTATACTTTTTACATGTTAAAGTGGCCCACTTATATTAATAAGACCACTGTGCTAAAGTACAGGTTTCCTTTCTGTCCAACTCTTCAGATCTTGCCAGCCAAAATATTTGAAGTTGGAAACTGAATTAGACTTAGAGACATGTTGTGAAGTTATTTTTATCTCTGTTCTTCCTCCTGAGAAAGGTATTTTAAACCTCCATTCTTAAAATCTTTTTGACATCCTAGTGCTATAGAGTTCTGTAGCAAGTGGGAATGTGACCTTGTCTTCTGTACCAAAAAAGATGCAACTCTTGCAGAAATGAAAATAAATTTGTAGACCTTAATGGAGATATGTCAATTTAGATAAAATCTGAATTTCTAAATTCTAAATTTCTATGGAAAACCTACCACATAATCAAGAGGAAATGTGTAAATTGGGCTTGAAGTTTTGCCTGGGTGCCTCTTTTCTGGACGTGAACTTAAGTTATAAAAAACATTCCCTGCCAATTATGGAGAATAGAGGCATCCTCTAGCCTATAAATCTGGTGACACAAGCTGTGGATCAAGTCCTGATCTGAGCATGTGCAGAGATATAAAATAGAAGTATGAATAACAACCAGGAGACTTCTGCAGTGAACCTGACACCTAAGTGATCTCATACAGGCTTAGAGCATGTACACAAGCTGGCCTTCCTGTCTGTCTGTCCTTCACTTCAACAGCCTGCCACTCTGCATTGGTTTCCCTGTATATCACCTTTCCCATCTTCTCTGGTATTAACATTGCTTTCTGTATCACAGCAACCACCTCAAGTGATTAAACACATTTTATTTTACCTGTTCCAAACAGGCAGCCATCCTCAGGTGCCCCCTTTTGAGAACATGGCTGCTGTCTGGTTTAATTAATGGCTTTGGCATCATGATATGTGCATACATGTGAATTTTAGAGATGTGGATTGCATTGCTGCTTATCAACACATTTACATTCACTCAAGAGACTGCATCAGTTGTGAAAAGTGGGAGGAATGCATTGTATGTAGGTGTTTCAGCTCTAGAGATCTTCTAAAAAATACCAGAACCAATTTGATGATGATGACTTCATCTCATCACTGTCAAAGTAAAATCTTTTCTAAGGCATTCTTACTGTTCTTACTTTGTGTGTGCCTAACAGTATGCATATAAGAGCTTCTGATTTTCTCAAGTGTAGAGTATGTATCATTCACTCCTACTAGAGAGCTGCTGTTATCCAGCACTTCAGAAACAGTGTAGTTTCTGAGTGCATTGTTCCCATATACCTAGCTACCTGTGTTGTTTTAGGTCAGTTTACCATTGTAATTTTATCAGATTATGTCTGGACTAGAAGAGTCAGTGATTTGTGCAGTCAACAATATATAACAGGAATTGAAATTATTTAAATTATGTTTTTAGAATGGAGACATGGCTAGAATATTTCTCAGAAAATAAAGCTTAATTAATATTAGTTAATATGTTAATTGCATAATTTAATTAACTAGCTGCTGAAGCAATTTATTTTAACATCTTTCAGTGTCCTTCCTGTAGCGCTGGATTATGGCTTTAAGTTTCTAATGTTGTTTTGAATATCTGTCTTTACAGAAAGATCTGTCTGAGGAAGAGGTAAGTATCTTTTTTCCCATACAGAACTACTGTTTAATATAGACATTTACAATTATATAGAAACATAATTCAAGAAAACTGATAGCTCAGGAATTTGGTTAAATATTGGGTCTAATGGGATTCCTTTCAAGTAAAATGCGCCTTTGTATTTGCAGGACAAAGCTTAAATTTTCTATCCTTATGTCATTTACTTTCCCTCCTTATTTTCAAAATTGAAAAAGAACAATGTGTGAGTATTCAGGTTAGCAAGAATTTGCTGATACATTTTGGCATGTCATCCAGCAGACTCAGTGGATAAGAAAACATGATACAGAGCTGAATGTGGTGCAGTTCTAGCCCTTAATGCTCTTCCTATAAATCCATAACATGCTTTCTTTATAGATCAAGCTAGACCTAAACTGTGATCTGTCCTACATATAGTGGAGTAAAGTGGTAAAAGGATGTAAGATGTTTTCTTACCTCATTGTCTTGGCTATCTCTAGAGTGACTAGTAATCAAAACAAATCTACAGTCATAGACACGGTATATCAATAAACTGACCTTGGGAAGAGTTTGGAGGTAAAGCCA